TCTATTTTACCCCCCCCCACACACACACACACTCGTTTTTTCCCCTCCTGCTCTCTAAATTCTAACAGATCCAACACCCTTTCTGATCTCTATGGGCACTGCATGGCACGCTGTGCTTACATGCAGGCAATATACTCATACACTTAAAATAAAAATAAATACAATTGTAGAAGCAAAGGGAAAAATTATAAAGAACAAGATGAGGCATTGATTTCTTAGAAAACTGGAAGACTGTAGCAACCTCACAGTCAAACTCCTCTTTGTAAAGGAAGAAGCCTGTGATGGTCTTCACATTATGTTTGGAAATTTCAAGTTTACTGGTTAAATTGACAACGCAGCAGTGTTATAAATGGCAATGAAGTTCCCGTGTTAATTTTTATTTTTTTGTTTGTTTTTTTTTTTACAGGGTCTCCGTAGTCCCAACCTGACTGGAAGTTACTATGTGGACCAGGCTGGCCTCAACCGCACAGAAATCTGACAGCCTCTGCCTCCAGAGGGCTGGGATTAAAGGCGTGCACCACCACACCCAGAATATCTGTTATTTAAAACAAACAAATGACCACAACAAAACATTAATATGTGTTAGTGTGGACAGCTGTGCACAGGAATCAGTACTTTTCTTCCACCATGGGTTCCGGGGATAGAATACAGGTTCTCAATGTAGGAATGACTTTTAAATATGGACAGAATCACAACTAATGACGTTTACTTAACCTTGCACCAAAAAGCTACTGTTCATAATGTAAACAAGTTCACTGAACCATGTGTTCTTATGACCTGGATGCATGACCTTCATCCCTCTGGACCCCACTTTGCTTTCCACCCATGATGGTGAATGAATGTGGGTGCTTGTTTAACATGTCAAAGTACTGGGAGCAGCGCGCTATTCTCCTCGAACACCTGAAGGCATGAAGACTCCAGATCTTTCTTTCCCTCACTCGCTGCACTCTAGACTTCCCCACTTCCGCCAATGGAATGGAACGTGGATTACAGCCCAGTCTGACTAAAGTACCCCCTCACCGCAGCCTCTGCTGGGCTTGGAAAGTACCCAACAGAACCAGCTGACCAAGGCCATTCACGCATACAAGCACTTTACTGTTTTAAGACAAGGTCTGGCACATTTGCCTAGGCTGGTCCTTGAATCCGATTTGTAGTCCAGGCTGGCCTTAAACGTGCAGTTCCCCTGCCCCAGGTTCCTCAGTGCTGCGATTACAGGTACAAACTCTGCTGCATTTGCTTGTTTCTTGGTAAGGCTCTGGATAACCCCTGGGATCTGGCTTTGCTCATTTCCAAGGCCTGCCACCTCCTTAGCAAAACGTCTCAAAAGCAGTAGAGCACTCCTGGGCCCGCGTTCACATCTTCCTAGTTCCTCCAGCAATCCAAGAGCCTTTTTTCTTTCTAAAGCCAAACTTGTCTTCCATGATTTTATGCAACCGTCCCCTACCGCAATTAAGCTACAGTGTAATAATTAGTTGTTAAATAATTATCTTAATATTCCAGATGGGGGGGCGCCCGGGAGCGAGGCGGGCCCTCTTTGCTTCCTAGAGGCCATGGCCAGACACGCCTCGCCCGGTGCGGAGGTTGGTACCTGGCTTGAGCGGCCTCTGGCGGAGCTGGGTGCGCATCTGGAGATTTGGCAGACTACGAGGTTGGTCCACGTGATGAAAACGACCTGCAAGGCTTTACAAAAAGTAAAGGCGTTCTTGCCAGACTATTGCTGAAGACACCAGTCGCCACCACCCCGCAGACTACGCAGACTGGAGACAAGGACTTGGGGAGCCCCAGAAGCCAGAAAAAGGCGGGCGGGGGGGCGGGGGGGAGGGACGAGCTCGCGTCCTACCGGCCGCTGCCTTCAGGAATTCCCAGCTGGGTTTGGGAAGAAGTGGGCGCCTCAGGTGTGCCCTGCTGATGAGACACCTAAGTCGGCTCTCCACATTCGCAGGGTGGAACCTCCTAGATTGTTCAATACCCAGAGTCTCTTATCTTCCTGCACCTAGCACACCATGTTGCTCAAAGCGCTGGCTATCTGCAGTTGTACCGGAACCTTCCCTGCCCTTCCCACTGTGTACGTTCTGAGGCTCCAGCTGCAGCCCATTTTCAGAGCTTCCGGAAGGCAGGTGTCTTGACAGAGCTTCGTCCCCAAAGCTGAGGAAAACACAGAGGTTACTATGGAAGTTACTGGGTGATTTTTTTTTTAAGGCAAAAGTTCATTTTTAGAAACATATAAAGGACAACAGAGTCCTAGAATAGGTGTCAGGAGATTTCTGATAATGCATGTCCAACGTTCTGGGCAGAGTTCCTGATTCTCAAAGATTCTTGATTTAGCAGCTTTAGGAATGTGCCTGAGACCTGGAGTTACTAGAACACTTGCAAAACTAGAGCTGTAGACAATTACCATCAGCAGCCCTGAAATCTCAGGCATAGGTGATGGCTTTGTTTTTAAAGGATCATACAGATGACCCTCAGCATCTTACACTGTTAATGAAAACGAGTGTATGCAATGTGCACGTGTGTGCATGTGCAAGAACACACGCCACCCCCCCCACCACCCTGTTATGAAAGTTGAAGGATCTCAACCAGCAAAGCTGATCAAGGGCAGAGTGAACAAAGCAAAAACACAAGCTAACAGCAAGGCATGATGGGTACTTGGGGAAAGGGGAAACTTCCAACATGATGAAACTGGTACAAAGTGAAATTGAATCCATACCGAAGTATACTGCAGTTTAGAACAATAAACATTAGAAAGGCATCATGTCAGGAAAACTGTAAAGACACTTTATTTACATAAAGTGTAAGGAAAGGAAATGGACATTAGCATACCTTCAAAGATTCTGCTGGACTTCTCTGGGTACTTAGGTAGGCAGGGCTTTGAGATTGTGAAACCTAGTTTTCCTGAAAGTGGGTTTAAAGTTAACTCATGACTGTTCCTTGGCAAAATTCAACTTGCACAGTACTGTGACTACTAGTGACAATTATGGTGGGATGTTGACTCCCAAGTAAGTTGAAGAGGAAGGAAGGCAGACAGAGGGAAAAGAGAAATCTTCCTGAGATAACTGAGTGACAGGTGGGACAAGGATTGAAGTTAGAGAGTGTGTATATGACGCATGACAGGACAAAGAAAACTTTGCCAGTATTCCTCCTGGGACATACACACACACACACACACATACACACTCATGCACAGAGGAAGACTCTTTTTGACAACATGAGGTCTTCATCCTCTTCAGAGCATGCTCAGGCAACAAAATGTCACTAATGTTCAAATGAATGGAGTCACTAAAGAACTTTTTCTTTTGCTAAGCTGTGATGGGTTTAAGAAGGCAACTGAGGGGCTGGAGAGATGGTTCAGCGGTTAAGAACACTATTCTTACAGAAGACCCAGGTTCGAATCCCAGCACCCACATGGCAGCTAACAACTGTCTGTGACTACAGTCCCAGGGGATCTGACAGCCTCTTCTGACCTCCTCGGGCATTGCACAACCCGGGTATACTTACCTGCATGCAAGCAATACATGCATGCACATAAAGTAAAAATAATAATAATAAAAAAAAAGGAAGGCAACTGAGTTGAGGATGTAGGTCAGTTGGGGGAGTACTTGCCTAGCATGCAAAAAACCCTGCGTTGGCTCTCCAGCACCACATAAACTGGGTATGGTAGTGCACACCTATAATCCTGGCACTCTGGAGGTGGAGGCAGGAGGCTCAGAAGTTCAAGGTCATCCTCAGCTACTGTGGAGTTCAAGGCCAGCCTGGGCTACTTGAGACCCTGTCTCTAAAAACAAAGTAACTAAGTTAGGTTCTCAAGTAGGTAGGTGGATTGATTATCTGGGAAAAACAAAACAACAAAAACCTAAGGTGATTAAGCCCTGAATGAGGAAAATAAATAAAACCTTGCACTGTTTGACCAAGAAGGGACTTCTGAGAATAAAGTCTAACAGGATATACAATGTGAACCTGCACTTTCACACAGCACTTTTATCTTCAGTGATTATTACTCCTGGATGTGTTTTGTGTAAGTAGATTCCTTGAGAGATTGAAGAGGGGCTGACTTCTTTTTTTAACAGGGTTTTCACTTAGCTTTTTATTTTATATTGTAATTATTCAACCGTATTATAAATGGGTTTCATTAGGTGCTAAGTTCTACATTAGGACCTTTAAGGGGTGACTGTGGGAATAAAATATGTGAGCACAAAAAACAGAAGTTAAAGAGATAGATGATGTCCAGGTTTCATGTGGGAAAGATGGTCTGGGAACAATTCACTTTGAGCTTGAGCAAAAACAACAAAAAAGGAATGAGATCACACTGTACTTGTAATGAGATCACACTGCACTTGTAATCACCCTCAGGAAAAAGTCAAAGAATTTCTCTGCCAAGAGGTTGACACCAGCAGAGCTACCTGCAAGGATGTGAGAACGTGTGATCAACTTTTATTTGTGCAGTCCTTTCCTCGAGCCAAGTGCATACACCTGAAGAGAAACCTGCTTTATGGAATTTGGCTATGATGAGTTATATTTCCACAGATATGAATTAAATTCATTATATTCAAATCTATGTGGTCATTAACACAGGTGAACTTTATGATATATAAATTGTATCTACATAAAGCTATTTTTTAAAAAGAGTACCCACATCATAGAGATGATGGGGAAAAGAAATATAAACAGTAGCACTGTGCCTGGCACCAAATAAACCCCACATACCAAAGATTAGAAGCCAGGTATGGCTGCGTGTGTTTGTAATCCCAGCTACTTAGAAGCTAAGGCAGGAGGGTCTGAGGCCTACTTGGGCTACACAATGAGTTCAAGGCCAGCCTGGGCAACTAAGCAGAACTCTGCCTCAAAATGGGGCAACAAGGGCTGGGGATGCAACTCAGTAGTAAAGTGCTTGCCTAGCATATACAAAGCCTTGGGTTTAATCCTAACTGAAAAAAATTGTGATTAGTATATTTTTTTCTTTTTTTGAGACAGGGTCTCCCTGTAGTCCCTGCTGGCTAGAACTAAGGTAGACCAGGCTGGCCTTGAACTCACAGAGATCCACTTGCCTCTGCCTCCCAAGTGCTGGGACTACAGGCATGTGCCACCCGACCTGGCTAGTATTATATTTTTAAGAGAATCAAGGAATTATTAGGCTGGTTGAAACTTCAGAGATCATTTAGTTCAACTCCTCTTATTTTGCAGATGGGAAAATTAGAGACCAGCAAGTGTCTTACTGAAGGTGTAGCTCTCAGGCCTGTTAGGTTTTCTTTAGTGCATGGAGACATGAGAAATAGAGAACACAGTGGACACGTAGAGACATTGAAAAAAGAATTCTAAGGCTATCAGACAAGGCAAGAGCTGTCCCCAGCAATGGGGTCCAGGTCATGAGAGCTCAAGTGCTTTGGAAAGGCCAGGCCTGGTTAGTCAGGTTGTCCAGCTCACCACCACCGCCAGTTGGCGTATAGCAACACAGTTCTGTGTGCTACTTCTTGACCCAGGATCTGTCAGCAGCAGCAGAAGCCAGGGTCAAGTGTGTGTAGCAGATTCTTGGGGAAAGTCGGTGTTAACAGCCCTGATGCAGGGATAGCCTCTTCTGCCCATGTCAGCAGTCTGGCTTCAACTGCTTCTCTCCTGGCCTTGCCTAATCAGCCTCTCTGGATTCTCAGATTTGCACTTACAATCCCATAAATTGTTTCCTTCTTCATGACACCCTCTTCAAATAAATAAGGAAGGCTGGCAGGAAATGTGAAAAGGCCCAGGCTTCCTGCTTTTCCATCAACCTTGCCATCTTCAGGGAATGTGACAGCATTGGAAGATTCTGAGGCACAACAAACAGCTTACTAAATTATTCCCAGGCTAAGCAGTGGGCAGGAGCATGAGAGGTCCTCTAGGTCATGATTTTCTAACATCTCAGAAGACAATGTACAATGAGTCAATTCTGAAATTCTTAGAAGGTGGTGAATCCTGTTCCCTGCTTTTTACAGGGCAATAATTTAGGCTAGATGCCAGATTCAGACTCCTATGGAGCAGGGAAGAATGAAGGAAGAAGGGACAGAGGAGAATTAAGACCTGAAACAACTTTTATGATTTAACTCAGTACACTGAAACACATCAATAAATAGTTCATAAAAGTACCTCATCGCTTTCAACCAACTATTGAAATAAAACTCAGTAGAAAGGTATAGGAAGTTCTGTCCATTCATTTGATCTGAGAACCTGGGATTCAGATTATAAACAAATGAAGAAGTCTGACTTCAGCCTTTCCACAGTAATCGTTCCTGTTTCGCAGATCATTCAATACAGTGAACACTTTGATGTCGTAGGAGGTGAGAGCTCCTACTGAAGGTCTTCTGACATTCCTGGCACTCGTAAGGCTTTTCTCCAGTGTGAATCCTCTGGTGAATGGTAAGTTGGGAGTGCTGGCTGAATGTTTTCTCACACTCACTACATTCATAAGGTTTCTCTCCAATATGAATTTTCTGGTGAAGAAGCAGCTCAGAGTTATCCCAAAAGGTTCTTGCACACTCATTACACTGATGGGGTTTTTCTCCAGTGTGGATCCTCTGGTGGACAATTAGGTGAGAGGTTCGCCTGAAAGCCTTCCCACACTCAAAACATTCATAGGGTTTCTCTCCAGTGTGAATCCTCTCATGTCTAAGAAGTTCTGAATTTCCCCTGAAGGCCTTCCCGCATTCTTTACATACATAGGGCTTCTCACCAGTATGAATTCGAATATGTCTAATAATCTCTGAATTCTGGCCAAAAGTTTTCCCACATTCATTGCACTCATAGGGTTTGTCCCCTGTATGAATTCTTTGATGACGGATGAGCTCAGAACTCTGACCAAAGCCTTTCCCACATTCATTACACAGATAAGGTTTTTCTCCAGTATGAATTTTCTGGTGTCTGATCAGCCCCGAGCTATGCTTGAAGGCTTTGCCACACTCATTGCACTCATGATATCTTTCTTCAGTATGGATTCTCTGATGTTGAATAAGCTGTGAGCTAACCCTAAATGTCTTCCCACATTCATTACATTCATAAGGTTTCTCTCCAGTGTGGATTCTCTGGTGAAGAATAAGGGCTGAATTCTGACTGAAGGCTTTACCACATTCTTCACATTTATAAGGCCTCTCTCCAGTATGAATTCTATGATGGTGGATAAGATGCGAACTTTGAATGAAGGCCTTCCCACACTCATTACAAGCAAAGGGTTTCTCTCCAGCATGAATTCTCAGATGCCTTCGAAGGCTGGAGTTAGTTCCAAATGTCTTTCCACATTCTTTGCATTCAAAGGGTTTTTCTCCACTATGAACTCTCATATGCTGGATGAGATGTGAGTTCTGATTAAAGGCTTTCCCACATTCTTTACATGTATGAGGTTTTTCTCCCACAGAAGTCCTCTGTGCTTTCTTAAGTTCTAAATTCTCTATGAAGTTTTGGCTGGAGGTAGTAAATGCTGTTGTATCTCTGTGATATATCACTACACTTGGGCTGGGACTGTAGCCTCTCTCACTTTCACTATTATCCTGGTCGTTTTCATCGAAAGGTGACTTCTTAAAGATAATCAACCCTGATGTAAAGTCTCTCTCCTGTGGAGACATCTGCTCTATAATCTGTTCTGAGGACATCCTCGAATGGCCCTCTAATATGTCTTCCTCACATACTGCTCCAAATTCATGACCTTGGTAAACCACCTTTGAAAGTTTTTCTAATGTTGGCCCATGTAGCTCAGATTCTTCAGAAATTTCTTCCTTGGGAATCACCTCCTTTTTCTCAGTACCCATCTCACAATCTGAAATGACAGAGGGAGAGCATGTGAAGCTGCTGTGCCCTATCTAAATGAAACTAATGCTAGAGAAACAAAGAGCTTTGACACAGCACTCAAAGACAATCCTGGCATCTGATGCAAGGACAGGATTCCTCTTGTCTGTATGGTGGACATACTAAAAAGCAGATACTGACTTAAAAGAGCAAGAAAAGCCATCAGATGTAGACAGTTAAGGACAGAAATAGGAAATGAATAGTAAAGAGATGCTGGTTAAAAAAAATACATAACACTAACAGTGAGTTGGGGTAGAAGTCAAAGTTGGCGAAAACCAACCACTTAATGGCCATATTAATAGATGGGTATATGGAAAATGGTAGAAAAGGGGGGGAAATTACAAATTAACAGCGATAACTTGTGAGTTTATAGGTGAAGTAACCACAAAATAAGTAGTAAGAGGTTATAATTAGTCCAGTTGTGTTACCCAACAGCTCTACAAAGTAGGGCACAGTGTATAAAGGAGTTACCCATTCAAAGAGTTAGTATGACTAAGCCATAATTAATGCAAAGGTAACTATCCTTAGCTCTCTACACTTGGATGAAGTGAAAATCCATCTTGAATTTTTTCCAGGCAACAAATGAATTGCATCAATATCATTTACTGAATAACCCTTTTCCTTACTGATTTAAAATGCCACTTATTCCAGATGGAGTACAGTCAGCTCTACTGGTCTAGTTTTTCTCCAGTATCAAACTGATTAACCTACTGAAGTTTTACTGAATTTTTTTAATAAATGTAGAGCCAAGAGTGGTAGTGCACACACATAATCCCAGCACTCTGGAAAATGAGGCAGACCATGAGCTGAAGGCCAGCCTAGGTCAGACTGTGAGATAATAATTCAAAAAACATTTTGAATATATGTATTATAGAAAAAGGTATCTTTAAGTCTTTTTCAGATATTTATCATCTTCCACAAATATTGTTCTAAATAGGTTTTAGTGTAATTTCATAAAATAGCTAAATTTACCTGATGCTGATTCTATGCCTATCTTGTTTCTGTCTTTCATTTAATCAGCTTTTCTTATATTTTCTAAATGGCTATTTTTATATGCATAAAATGCTATGAATCTTTACATATTAATTTTATAATCAGTCCTTCTATAGACTTCCCTTAATAGTTAATAACTATTAAAGAGTGAACTTTTTGGAGGGAGCCCAAGGTAGGAACTCAGGGCAGGAACCTGGAGGCAGGAGCTGGAGCACAGGCCACGGAAGAACACTGCTTACTGGCTTGCTCCCCTGGCCCCTGCTCAGCCTGCTTTCTTACACAATACAGAACAACCTTCTCAGGAAAGAGTGAATTTTTAAAGGGCTGGAGACATGGCTCAGAGGTCAAGAACACTGGCTACTCTTAACCCAGGTTTGATTCTCAACACCCACATGGCAGCTAACAACTATCCATAACTCCCCTCTTCTGGCCTCTATGGGCATTGTGTGCATGTGATGCACTTACATCCATGCAGGCAAAAGACTCACACACAAAAAAATAATTTTTAAGAGTAAACTTTTTAAAAACTAAGAAGCAATGGCAAAAGTTTTTAGTTGTCAGTCACATATCTACTTTTCCCCATGTCCCCACAATAGAATAATGAATTTACTTAGAATGACAATGCGTGCGCGCGCGTGTGCATGCGTTTTCCCCTCTGCTGTCTTTGCATCTCTGTGGCCATTTGACTAAACTCTGGCCAATGAGATGGTGTGATATAAAACATACACATGGGATTACTGGGAAATCACCTTTAAAGCTAAAAAAACACATTTCTTCATTCTCTTCTCTGCTGTTCTTGGGGCACAATGTGATAGCTGGAGCATCATCTTTGACCAGGAATACACCAGCATACCTTAAGACAAAGGATCAGAGGTGGAAGCCACTAGCAGCCATGACTATTTCCGTAGCTGCCATACCAATCCCAGAATGCCTACCTCCAGACTTCTTTTATCCAAGAGAGGGATGAGTTTTTGCCTTGTTTAAGCCATTATACTTCCCTAACAATATTATTATATTCAGGTATAGTAGTGCATATCTGTAACCCTAGCACTCTGGAGCCAGACGCAGAAAGAGTCTGAGCTTGAGCCTGGCTAGATCTATATAGTAAGACCCTGTCTCAAAAAAAAAAAAAAGTATACATATATTATTATATGAAGTCAAGCCTATTCCTAACTAATATAATAGTGTTGTGAATTCTGCTGCCCCTACCATACAAATAGGGTCCAAATGATAGAAAAATGAGCCTGACCTTTGCTCAGGTGGTAAGCAACCTGGAGTTAATACTAAAACTGTTCTTTCACTATATCAGAGTATTTATGCACATTAACAAAGTTGAGGAATACAATCTTCCATCAATAAATACATAAAGTATAGCAGGTGACCTTGATGGGGGATAGGCAGGTATGGAACTTCACCCTTTAGAAAATGCAGAGTCCTGGAACAGTTTTAAGCCAAGGAGTGGCATAGTCTCTGTCAGGTCAGTGTGTCAGGTAGATGCACCCTAGCTAGTGGCCACTTAGTAGCTGAACTAGAAAGCAATATGACAGTTAGAGGCTGGTGCAGTCATCTAAATGAGAAGAAATGAAATCTAACTAGGGCCACAGTAGTGGTGGGAAGAACGATGAACAGACTGGAGTGATAGTTAAAAGGTCAAATTCTGCTGGGTGTGGTGGTGAATGCCTTAAGTCCCAGCACTTTGGAGGCAGAGGCAGGCAGATCTCTGTGAGTTCAAGGCCAGCCTGGTCTACATAGTGAGTTCCAGGCCAGCTGGGGCTACAGGGAAACCCTGTCTCAAAAAGACCAAAAAAAAAAAAAAGGTCGAATTCTGCAACATTTGGTATATGCTTGGATATGAAGCAAAGAAGAGGGAGGAGCCATAGATGGTGTCCAGATCGCCTTTCATTTGAGGGATGATAATTAAATGGATGGTAGTGCCATCAAGATTGAGAATACTTCTGGGTGTGGTGGTGCATGCCTTTAATGCCAGCACTCAGGAGGCAGAGGCAGGTAGATCTCTGTGAAATCAAGGCAAGCCTCATCTGCATAGCAAGTTCCAGGCCAGCTATTGCTACAGGGAGACTGTCTCAAAAAACAAACAAATTAAATACTAAAGGGAATACTAAAGGCAGAGCTAGTTTAAGAGGGAAGATGGTGAATGAGCTCTGTTTTGGACAAGATGGTTTTAAGATTACCATATAGAGGTTTTAAGCAATTGGTCAAAATATATTTATCTAAAAGCTTTAAATAGTCCAGTTTCAGTGTAGATTTGAGAGAATTCAGCATGAGTACAGAATGAGGACTGTCAGGGACTAGAAGCCAAAACTAGTAGTCAAGGGTACGATCTTCCCCTCTAGAGTCTCCACTACCTTTCTCTGCCCTGCCCTCTGCCAAGACTAACTTGTGTGGCACCCAACAGACCCTGGCCTCTAGTTGCATTCACCAATGGGGAGGTAATGAGGAGAAGGTGGTCAGAGGACTTTTTCTCCTGCATCCTTCCTGTGACATTACTTTGGACTATTGGTGTCCCTCAAGTAGAAGTCATAATTCCTCTCAAAGAGCTTATTCTCCCCAATTTTTCAATAACCTGCCCATTCCTGTTACTTACAAATAACTTGTTTGTAACTAAACTTTCCTCAAATTAACCTAGTTTTAATAGATTATCTGTTTTTTATTCACACTCTAATACTAAAGGGGGCAGGTGGAAGAAGTAAAATCTGCCACAAAGAGAAAAAATGGTGTCACAGACGTCACCAAGGCAATGGCAGGGGAAAGAAGAATATGAAATGCAGTCAGGAATGGTGGCAGGTACCTGAAATCCCAGCTACTCTGAAGCTGAAGCAGAAAGACTGGAAATTGGAGGCTAGCCTGGGCAACTTCACAAGACTGCATTTTAAAATAAAATGCAAAAATGTCTGGAGTGTAGCTTCGTGCCATAACATTTGCCCAGCATGCACAAGAACTCCAGTTCAATCCTCAGGACCTCAAACCAGAAGAAATAATAAATAACAACAAAATTTAAGCAGTTGAGAGAACTCCTAGATTAAGAACTGGGAACTGTCTATGAGACAACTGTGTGGCCACAGGAAGCAAAGCACGGTGCCAGTAACTGAAACGGGAGTCTGCTGCAGTGTGGGGTGCCACGAGGTCCAGGACTTTCCTCCAGCAATAGAGATTTGAACATGTTTATGCTAGAGGAGTGGTTCTGGTAGAGGCAGGGATTAAGAGGGAAGAAAAATGTAAGATTAGTGAAGAATAGAAAGCCTGAGACACAGGACAGCCTGGGCTCAGGTGAGAGATGGAAAAGAGATTTTGCAGGTGGCCTTTATACTGCCCTTTTTCTCTACCTAGCTTCATGTCAGCCAAAATGCTAGTTCCTACTACCATCCAAGCCCTGTGCAGTCTTCACGCTGTACTCGGCAGTCTTGGAACCACCCAGTGTGACACTGGAAGAACCTGATGTCTACTAGAATCAGGATGCCTTAGAAATTCTTTCCTTTTCCCCTCAGAGTGAGCTAGAATCCTCCAGCATCTTCTCTTACCTTCTTATGGAGCAAGGGAAGACCCGAAGCTAGATTTCTCCTTTCTGTTAAAACCATTGAGAATTATAGATAATACTACCTGTATAATTATAAGGATCTGTTATAGAGAGACTAGCTAATCTCTTTATCCATAGCTCTATTTCAGTTGGGAAGTACTGTCTTGAATTAAGTTTCTTTCCACTGTCTATAGTCCCAGCATTCAGGAGGCCAAGGCAGGAGGATCACAAATTTGAGGCCAGTTTGGGTGACATAGTAAGATACTGTCTTAAGAAATACCTAGGAGCTGGAGAGATGGTGCAGTAGTTAAGAACACTAGCTGCTCTTGCAGAGGACCTGGGTTCAGTACTCAACACCCACATGGTGGCTCACAATTGTCCATAATTCCAGTTCCATGGGTTTCAACACCTTCTTCTGGCCTCCTTTTCATGTATGTGGGATACTTATATGTATGCAGGCAAGACACTCATACATAAAATAAAAATAAATCCAAAATTTATTTTAATTATTAGGGGCTGAAGAAATGATTCAGCACTCAAGAGCACTGGCTACTCTTGCAGAGGACCTGAGTTCAGTTCCCAGCATCCACATGGCAGTTAACAATGGTCTGTTAACTCCAGTTCTAGAGGATCTGAGGCCCTCTTCTGGCATTGCACACGTGTGTGTATACTTGCAACATACACTGTTATGCAAGTATGTAAGTGTGCACTCACATACATGCAGGCAAAACACTCATACACATAAAAAATAAAAATAAATAAAATTTGGGTGCTAGAGAGATGGATCAGCAGTTAAGAGCACTGGCTGTTCTTACACAGGACCCAGGTTTGGTTCCCAGTGCCCATGTAGCGGCTAATACCACTCCAGTTCCAGGACATCTCAATGCCCTCTTCTGGCCTCTGTGGGCACTGCACATACAAGATGCACTTACATGCATGCAAAATACTCATACACATAAAATAATGTTTTTAAAAGAAATAAAACATTTAAAACAATTAAATAAATTCCTAATATCTAGCTAAAAACAAGTTTCACAGGCTGGTGTTTAGTGTCTATTTCCAACCTTTTGGCCTTTCTTTTCACTTTCATGTCTCCAGTAATTGCTTATCTTCTAGTTTTGGTTTTTAATGAGGTTTTCTTCCCCCTGAAGTTCTGAGGATTGAACCCAAGACTCTACCTAAACTATATCTCTAGCCCTTTTCTTTTTACTGTTATTGAGACAGGCTCTCACTAAGTTTTCTACAATGGCCTCAAACCCACGATCCTGCTGCCTCAGCCTCCAGGGTGGCTGGGACCATAGATGTGCACCATCATGCCCCATTCATCTCTAGTTCTTTACAGAGTCAGCATTTGGAAAGCCTACATCTGTACCACACCATACAAAAACCACTTTGTAAAACCAGGTGTGGTGGCCCATATCTGTAATCCCAGAACTCAGGAGGCTGAGGCAAGAGGATCACAAGTTTGAGGCCAGCCTGGGCTACATGAGATCCTGTCACAAACTAGCAAACAGAAAAAACAAAAATACTTAACTTCACAAAGTCTCCCAGACCTAGTCTTCCACATAATTATTTTTACTTTAAATTCTGCCAGTGACATAACAGTGTTGTTAATAGGTATCCTCTACACAGAAGACAAAGCCAATCCCATGATTAATATTTCCAGAAGCAAAGCCATATATTAAACCTTGTTCTCATATGGAAACTATTTCTTATAGCCTAAATTCATATTCCCAAACATAGTTTCCTCTCCTCTGTCTCTTATGTCCTAAATCTGAAACGAGCCATTTCTGAGAATGGAGGTTACCACTTGAGAAATACAGGCTGTACACTGTTGTTTCTCATGTTGTATGACATGATGACAGGCAGACCAGAGTCTCTAGAATTTAGAATAGGGTTCTAAACTCTGCAAACCTGGACTTGTCTTTTCAATCCATGCTGCAAGAAAAGCCTTAGAAGGCCTCATTTGCAACATTCTCGATGAAGACACCAGGTGTGTATTAACAGTGATAAATAAAACTTCAAAAACACCGCTTATTTTTAAGTCAGGATGAGCTGGATTCCGTTACTGTGGGCTGGAGAACTCCCTCCACCCCAGGGCTCACTACCATCTGCAGGAAGGAAGTTCTCTTGGTCCTTTGTAGCCGGCTTTCCACTAGCCCTGTTCTCACCTCTTTAACTAGTTTCCATGTCATTTCCTGTTTATTGCTCCTCTCAAGGCCTCCAGAATGAATACTGCTTCATATGGTTCGTAATACTGTCGCGATCAAACCTGCTTCCTTTCCCACATCTTACCTCACATTCTTAAAAAACATTCTCAAAGAGACAAAAAACAAACAAACAAAAAAAAAAAAAATTGGCAGCTACAGATGTGCTCCGTGTCCTGCAGTCCAAACACACCATTCTTTAACGTTTCTTTGCCTTTGAAAACAAACTGTTCTCATTTCCTGAACTACTATTCCCCACCTGTGTACTTAACAAACATCTTCGAGTCAGCTGAAGTATGCAGTCCCATTTTCTTCCTGATCCACAGGCCCTAAAACAGTATTACTTCATCATGGAACAGTTACCCCGCTGCATTATCAGTTTACTTTCATGTCCATTTCTTCTTTAGACCATGAGCAAGGACGATGCTCTGTGCCTCTTGTTAGTCTCACGGCTTAGCACATTTCAGATACCTGGTAAATATTAAATGTAGTTGTGTGTGCTATCCACATAACAAATCTGTAATTGTTTGGGGAGCTAATTGGAGATTTCGTTCATTTTTGTACCTAAAGAACCCAGAGCAGCCCAACGTGGTGGCCCACGCCTTTAATCCCAGCACTCAGGAGGTAGAGGCAGGTGGATCTCTGTGAGATCGAGGCCAGCCTGGTCTACATAGCAAGTTTCAGGACAGCTGGGGCTACAGGGAGACCTTGTCTCAAAACGACCAAAAAAAAAAAAACTGAGCTGACATGTAACTGGTGTCAACAATTTATAAAAATAAGTTCTTTCTTCCAATCGATGACATTTCATTTAGGGCAGTGTTATCTTCCGTCTCTAGTACCCACAATCAAGGGGGCTCTGAGCTCTGCACTCAATTTTGTCTCCTTTCTATAACTAATCCTCATTAGCCAATACCTTGGGGGCCATAATTTTTTCCTGCCTTTCGTTCTCGCAGTATACTGGGGGATGGACTATCTGAAAAGAAGAGGAAAAAAGAGGCAGAGCTTCCAGGCTGCCCACGTCGGACCCTGTGTCTCCAGCTCCCGCAGCGGACAGGCAGAACAGGGGCGCCCCTGACAGTGCCCAGGCTCCGCCCTCTCGGGGCTGCAAGTGGGTAAACGAGGCCCCGGTGGCCGTGAAGTCCAAGGTCACACCGCGAACTCGCGCCAGGAAGGGCCTCGCACAAGGCTCTGGCTGGGCTCCACGCCCCACGCCCTCCTCCCCGGGGCAGGACGGAACCAGGGAGGCCTCACCGCTGGCGGATGCCGCCCACGCTCACCGCTCCGCTCTGGGCGCTGCACCGTGGCGCACCCACACTGCAGCTGTTGTCTCGGTGTCACTGGCGACGGGCACCGGCCACTTCCGGTGCCCAGGGCACTCCAGCCAATCAGCGCGCGCCGCACTGGCTGGAGACACAGATGGTCAGCGGGTCGCTGCCTTCTGGCCTTTTCCAGCCTCCTAGGCCAGTTTTCACGCTGACCCCGGGACTGCCAGGCCGGCGCTGGCCGGTCAACAATCTGGACCATCCCTGTGCACCCGGCGATGCCCACTTCAGCCCCTGGATCACTGACACGCTGGGTCCTCCGGGTTTCCTAGAACGGCTCCAGGGATGCACTTCCGCCCCGGGAGCAGCCGCTCTGCACGCGTGGAGCTCCGCAAAGCCCTTCCCGTGAGCTGGAAGGCTTGAGACTCCGCTTCGCTTTGCACGCGGACTGCTGCAGCCCGCATCCCTCCCATCTCATCTCTCCCTTTCCATGAGCCCAGTAAACCCAGGGCTCCGGACTTTAGGAGCCCCTGTCATCTGCTGGGAGGTCGGGGGAAGAAGGTTCAGGATGTTTTCACTGGAATCTAAAGGTTGAGGGTGAGTTCTGTAGGTTGTTCAGGCAATGGGAATTGCATTATTTCCTGGCCTTCATCTCTCTTTTTGAACAAATTTGCCCTGGTCTTGCCTCAGAACACGTGATTGTATGTGTGTGTGTGTGTGTGTGTGGCTACAGAGTACAATCCTGTCTCAAAAAAGAGAGAGAGAGAGAGAGAGAGAGAGAGAGAGAGAGAGAGAGAGAGAGAGAGAAGGGGGAGAGGGGAGGGGAGGGGAGGGGAGGATGTGAATGCAGGCACAACCCACAACAGATGTGGACCTGGCCCGCTGTCTATACCTCCCATTTATTTACAACAACGTAGGGAACAGCGAGCCTCATCCCGCTTTCATTTGGGTTCTGGGGATTCGAACTCAGGTCCTCAATCTTGCACAGCAACCACTTTTACGCATTGAACCATTACCCAACCCTTGCTTCAGAACTTGTTACTTGCTCTGCCCATTCTTCAAACGTCTTATTTATTTATTTATTTATTATTGAATTTATTGTTCTGGGAACTTGAATTTAAGGCCTACCTAGCATATGCTAGGCAAGCACTCTGCACCATGTGCCCAGCCTCTTCTGCCCACGTTCTTCAGGCCTCATTTCTGAGACCACTACCTCAGAGAAGATGTGCATCCCAATCAGTGTTGCCTCAAACTGCACCACCCTTCCCAAATATCACCTGTAAGAAGTGCCTCTACATTCACCAGGCCCCGAAAGCAGTTTCTAGTATATGTTATAGCTGCATGTTGCAGTCAGCTGGAATTTTTTGTTGTTGTTGTTTTTGAGACAGGATCTCAGGATCTCATGTAATACCAGACAGGCCCTGAACTCTATATAACTGAGGATGACCTTGATCTTTCCTGCCTCTTCTGCCTCCACCTCCCAAGTACTAGTATTACAAATTTGTACCACCATGCCTGCTTTACCTGGAAATCTTTTTTTTCTAATATTTTATTTATTATTTTTATGTGTATGCATGTATTGCCTGCATGTAGGTAAGTTAGGTAAGTGTACCTGTGTTGTGCAATGCCCATGGAGGCTGTCAGATCCCCTGGAACTGGAGTTATGGACAGTTGTTAGCTGTCATGTGGGTGCTGGGATTCAAACCCCGGTCTTCTGCAAGAACAACTGGTGTTCTTAACCGCTGAGCCTTCTCTCCATCCCCTTTACCTGGGAATCTTTAAAAGTACTGAGGTCTTATGCTGTAATGAGGGGAGGACCCTGGAAATTAAGATTCCTCATAGGGCATGGTGGCCCATGACTTTAATCCCAGCACTTGGGAGGCAGAGGTAAGCACAACTCTGGATTCAAGACCAGCCTGGTCTACATAGGACGTTCCAGGCCAGCCAGGGCTACACAGTGAGACATCCAGAAATTTCCTCCAGGAAATTCCATGCTGGGGGAGAAAATGGGTCACATGCAGGTCCCCTGAGGCCAAAAGGACTCATCTTCCTTTCTCCATGTGCGTTTTTCCTGGCTTTTGTTTGATCATTCCTCTAAGTTGTGATATTGCTCTGAGCAAGGCCCATTTTTCTAAATTATTCAGAAAAGAGTAACTTCTGTTTTCTAAGCATGCTTTCCCTAACACCTTGTGCTGCCCCCACATTTGGGGCTTCCTTGTTTCTCAAGCTCTCCTGCCCACCATGTGGCTGCTTGTCCACCATGTGTTTGACCACCATGGTGGCTCAAATGGGCATGGCTTTTTCCTTCTCCTCCACTGTCCTCCACCAGGCAAGAGATTTACAGCTAACAGCCCCGAGGGTTTCTTTTTGTTTTATTTTTTAACTAACAGAATTGTCCTCAAACTTCCATTTGAATCAATTATTAAATTGTTTTATTAATGAGACTGAAAACCCTCAGAGGAGAACCCAGTTTCCTATGTATGAAAATAAGAAAGTCGAGGTGGAGAGATGGCTCAGCAGTTAGAGCACTGGGTGCTCTTGGCAGAGGACTCAGGTTTGAATCCCAGCACCCACATGGTGGCCAACAACCATCTGTAACTCCAGTTCCAGGGAATCCAGCACCCTCTTCTGCCCTTTGCAGGCATTGCATGACATGATGCACTTACATGCAGACAATACATTCAAACACATAAAAATAAAATTTAAAAAGTTAAAAACAAAAAATGCTTATTTATGGCCAGAAGGTTTGATATATTGAGTTTACCAAACTCCATTCCTCTCTCATCCCTAAATCTAAATAATGCACCTCATAAAACTACCCTACAATTAATTTCATTTGTAAAGGAAATTCTTTAAAATAAGAAATATGTGCTCACTTCGGCAGCACATATACTAAAATTGGAATGATACAGAGAAGATTAGCATGGCCCCTGCGCAAGGATGATGCGCAAATTTGTGAAGCGTTCCATATTTTTAAGAAAAAATTAAGCAACTTGCTTGTGCTCTAAATGATATTCAGAGAGGAATGTGATATTTCTGAGAATGACTTTAATTGCAATGAACAAACCTATTTTAAAAATGATTAAATATTGTAACAGTAGTAAGTGCTATGACTTTGAAATGTCTCTTTCTACACATATCATAAATATATTTTAAGAGACTTTTGATCAAATTAAAAAAAAAAGAAGAAATATAAGTCAGGTGGGGCTGGAGAGATGGCTCAGCAGTTAAGAACACTGGTTGTTCTTGCAGAAGACCCAGGTTCAAATCCCAGCACCCACATGGCAGCTAACAACTGTCTGTAACTCCAGTTCCAGGGGATCCAATGGCCTCTTCTGTCCTCCAAGGGCATTGCATGACACGGGTGCACTTACCTACACTCAGGCGATACACAAATACACATAAAATTTTAAAAATAAATTTTTTTTAAAGTTAAAAAAAAAATACAGGAAAGATCTAGCCAAACTGATTTTACAACAGAAACCCACTAACTCATAAACCAGTAATCCCAGGAATGTGTGATCAGAAGCAGAATCCTAACCACCTCTAAAAGTGCTTGTTAAGCCTCTTAACATCTCACAAATTAAATTTCAACATGAGTGTGGACAAACCATATTCAAACTATGGCAACATCTTATTATGAGTATATTTGTCATAATTAATAAACCAATATGGGTATATTGTTATTCTCTGAAATTCACACACATCTTTCAGATTCCCTTAGTTGTTACCTAATGTCCTTTGGGGTTGTGTTGTTTGAGGATCCTGTCCAGAACCCCACATTATGTTTAGTAGTAATGTCTCCAGGTCCCCATTGGCTGAGACCTAACAGCTGCATTTATATATAATACCAGCCTGTAGCCCAGGCTAGTCTTGAACTTACAGAGATCCACCTGCCTCTGCCTCCCAAGTGCTGGAATTACAGGTGTACCCCACCATGCCCACTTATGTTTTTATTTTTAATTACGTGTATGTATGTGTGTTGAGGGCATCAGATCCCCTGGAGCTGGAGTTATAGGCAGTTGTAAGTTTCACAGTGTGGGTGCTAGAACCTCAACTTGGGTCCTCTAAAAGAGCAGTATGTGCTCTTAACTGCTGAGCCATCTCTCCAGCCCCAATAGTATTTTTTTTAAATGGCAACACATCAATGAAGATTAAGTAATCAAACTCTGCCATGTGCCCATGAACCTCATAAAGGAAACTGGCATGTGTTTATCAGTATTAAGGTGATAGTGAGCCATTTACATTTCCTTCCATATTTTCAGATTGTGACTCAAAACCTGTTTGAAGCCAGATGTAGTGGCAAACACTTGTAATTCTAGCACTTGGGAGGTGAACGCAGAAAGGTTAGAAGTTCAAGCCCAGCCTCAGCTACATATTAGGTTTGAGGCCAGCCTGTGCTCTCAAAACAAGTAAACAAGCAAACAAACAAAAAAATATAATTTGGGGGTAAAATGTACCTTGCCTAGCATGCACAAGGCTCTGGTGTTCAAAAGTACAGGGGAGAAAAACTGGTGGGTTTTGTTTTGTTTTGATTTTTTGAAACAGAGTCTCAAGTAGCCTTCACCTTCTGAGTGCTGGGATCACAGGCATGTATACACCAGCATACCTGGTTGAAAAGCTTGGTTATATCTTGTGTATGTAAAGTTAATTGTATAGCATATGCAAAATCACTCAACATCACATAAATTTATTCAGTAATACCTTTTACATGTAAGATGGGACCCCTGGTAAGCAGGGTAGATTCCAGAACCCAGGGAACCAGCTCAGGAGCCTGATTGAGAAAGTGTAGGATGGAGGGAGCTGGGGAGATGGCTCAGTCAATAAAGTGTTTGCTGTGCAAGCAGGAGGACCTGAGCTCAGATCCCTAGCACCCATGTAAAAATAAGCAGGATCAGGGTCATGCACCTGTAATCCAAGCACTGGGGAGTTGGAAACAGGAGGATCTCAGGGGCTTGCTGGCCAGCCAGTCTACATAAATGGATGCGCTCAAAATTCAGTGAGAGACCCTATCTCAAAAAATAAGGTAGAAAAGATACTTGATGTCACATGTACACATACACACATGCATCATACACACACAAAAGAAAAAATGGCCAGGATGGAAGGGAGCTTTTCATATCTTAATCCCTAGGTTATTCTAATACATTCGAGAAGCACTATAAATTCCATAAACCTGAGGAACAAGCCCATAAGTTGGACTCAGGTATCCAAGTAACACATTAAGACCAAATGGTAAAATTCACACTGAAGATCATTGATGAGAGGCTGAAGAGATGGCTCAGCAGTTCAGAGCTCATCCTGCTCTTCCAGAAGACCCAAGTACAGTTCCCAGCACCCATATTCCCAACACCCATGTCAGGTGGCTCACAACTACCAATAACTCTAGCTCCAGGGGATCCTAAGTATTCTTCTGTGCCCATACCCATACAAAGACACACACATACACAATTTAAAATAAAACAAAGCTTTAAAATAAAAAGACAATTGATG